AAAATTAAAACGTGTTAATAGTTAATATAAATGCTCATAAATTTTCATATACAGATTCTTTATAAATGGATGAAATATGAAACTGAATGTCAGATGGGTTGTGAATCATTATATAAATACAACTCGTAATTTCCACAGATCTTTATTTAATATTTTTGTACAATGCAGAATTTATTATCTGTAGATGTGATAATGATGTTGGAGCAGTACGTCGACTAGTTTTATAGATACATATAAATCAATAAACATTTCATAAACATATGCACTAATGTCAAACAAATAAGGCTCTCTTATGTTGCTTTAGGATTTAGTAATTCATCGAACATCTTTTGTTCCGCTGAAAAAAAAGAAAAATTCATGTTTATAATATATTTTCAAGCTATATTCATAGAGTATAATATATGTTTATACTGAATATTACAGAATATTCTAAAACTAGATGTTCCTTTAATCACAAATTCTTTAATCAGCAAAAAATTGATATTTTCTTAATAAAATTTTGCACAAAGTATTTTATTTTCAGTTATAGTTAAAAAATTATAGAAAAAAGCATCAAGATTGATGAAAAAACTACGATTAAAAGATGTATTTGGTAGTTGTGCTATGCTCTAATATGTTCTATATACTATATGATATTTTAAACCATTTCATTAAATAAAATGTTGTATAATATCTTTTTACATGTAAATTTATAATTAATTGCCTTACCTAATGTAGCTAGTCTCTTTTCTTCAGCTAACTTGGCATCGCGTATTGGTTTAAGTTTCAGTTCTTCTTCTCTGCGTGCATTCTCCCTGTTACTGAGTCTTCTTTGATGATAAGCACCATATGCAATTCCAGTAAGAAGAAGACTCCAACGACAGAACTATAAAACGCAAATATATCCAATTAAAAAAAGACATTTGTGTCTTACTATATACTTAAAGTATTCATATTATTGTTTTTGTACAAATGTCATTTTTGGAAATAAAAATAAAAAATATTCAAAATATTGACCAATATCATCAAAAGCTATAATTATTATTCGAATTTCAAATATTCTAATAATTTCAAATAGAGTGAAATAGATAATATTTATTCAAGGTTAGAAAATCAGAGATAATATTAAATAAGCTATATTTAGTAAAAACAAAACAAAATTACAAGCAGCTATAAGTTACTGTGCAACAGGAAGAGCTGCAGCTATCACTTACACATATTTATTAATTTCACATAATTTCATAGTAAAAAGGAGAAAAATTATGTAATAAAATCAATTTGGTCGACAAGATATGCTGAAATTTTAATCGTATAGCTGCGTGAGAAAAATGTAATTTGATGTAAAATAAAATATAGTGCAAAAGATATAAAATAATATACGTTCATAAAATACTTCAACAAGTTATTTATTTTACCTTGATGAAAGGAGAAACCCGCAAAGGTCTCGGATTCAACTCGGCAGTCGACATTTTGCTCGAGGATAAGCAGACGTCTCGCAAGGCTCGTATATATGATAAAGCGCGCGCGCACTTCGACTCGTCAGTTCAGAGCGCCGCTTTTCTATTTAATGTTTGTTCAATGTTTATTATATATTTTAAAGTGTTTATTTAATATTTAGCTGCGCTTGCATTCATACAAAACTTCGAGGTTAGCTTGTGTTTTGAGTGAGCAAAAATTATTACAAGTAATAATAGAATATAATTAGTAAGTTGCACGAAAATTGCATAAGCACTTAAAGTTTGAGAAAAAAATTATTGTAATTAAATATTATAATTTTCAATTATTAAAATTATTACACAAATTATTATTTTTTCAAACGATATATCTTGCATAAAGAATACATTTTTATCTGCCTTCGATACATGTTATCAGAATGTTTTATGTTATGTTCATAGATGACGTCACATGCGCTTTTCGCAAAATTTTTGAGTGTCTCATCTAGAACCATTTCTAGAACCTTGTTCAAGGATGTCGCTCCGATAGTATTCACAGGCGAAAAAGATTTCGACTTGCGAAGTTCACGACAGTAAGCAAAATGGCGTTGTTGTGGACGGTGATATCATGCGCGTTTTCCTTGCTGCTGATACCTTTCCTTATGTTGCTGCTGGCGATTGTGTTTCTCGCATCCATCGGCAAATCTCTCGGTGTGCGCAGGCTATACATCAAATTGCTGCTGGCTCTCTTCGAGGTAAGTGCATGGCGTTTTCTTACCGAATTTGCGAAACTAACCGGCACGTTCCCCAGATCGTTAGCCGTGCGCAAAACATGATTCAAATCACATTTTTCGCGAGAGCAAAGAGGACCGTGTGCGTCGTCCCGTTAAATATCGATGTAGGTCCGACCTCTTCTCATTTCTCGCCGGAAGAGCATTTCCTGTATTGTATATCTTAAACACATGTGAGAAAGACGAATCGGATAACCTTCGCGCACGCCAATGCATAATCTCCTATATATTCGATTGAAATGGAATTAACAATTGCGGAATCACGATTGATGAGAGAGAAATGGTTTATGAAAGAACGGAGTTCTGTGAAGGCGTTCCTTTTTGTAGACAATAAAATAAATATTTTCGTGCAAATTGAGGGCACAGATGCATAGGTTTCTGTTGTTTTAATTACCGCGCGAGACGGTTAGCCTTATGCACTTCAGACACTTGTATTATAGTTTTAAAGTGTAGCGCGCTATGTAACATTTCTGAAGAATGAGAAATCTTTTATCAACGTTACGTCAGCGCGAATTATTTTTAGATGGAATAAATCGGAGTAACAGAAATTTCTCTTCATGAAATAATTAATTTTCAACTATTAATGACCGATTGTCGATGAAGCAATCGCGCTTTTATATATCACAGTAAATGCAAATCGGAAGTAAGTTTAAATAAACATGAGTGCAACGAAATGTTTTTTTATCGTATTATTTATGACAACACGCGAGGATCGATGATTGAAACAAGATTTAATTTTGCCAAAATGTGTGATTTCATAGGTCTAGATATTCTATACTAAGGCCTAGATCGCGATGTTTAAGTTTGTCCCTGGTTGCTATTCTAAATCATTCCGCACTACGGTTAATTTGAAAGATTTTCTGGCGTGGAGCGCGTTATAATTGAATAAATAGGACAGCTGTTGACAAAAATTATTTTAAGACTGATTTTTGTTAGAATTATTTTCATTGAAACAGTAAACACTGTTGATCATGCAGGAATGAGCTGACATTACGCATAAACAAAATAAAACTATTTGGAAATTGCACGTTTAACTTCGGAGTTGCATAAACACAGTCATTCTCATTAAACTTTATAATATTGCTAAACTGTATTTAAATTATTTTTTGCATACAAACAGCATATTTGCGGAATGTATGAAAAAGAGGGTAAATGAAGGATTATTTGTGCAAGGTAACATCGGAAGTAAAATCTATGAAACGTGTTTGAAAACATTTAACGTATCTATTTCAACCAAAAATTGACACTTGAAAATTTAAGATATGATTGCCAAATATTTTCTCCAAAAAGTGTGCCAAGTCTTGCGTATTTTCTCTTTACGTACATACAGATTAAATTAGGAGAATCCAGTTTAGCATAAATAATTTATCAATTTAGAATGCCTTGAAATTATTAATGTATCTACATTTGGTTTATTTTTAATATTTCTAAATCTCGACAGAAATCTACTTCTATGTAGAATATTCTAGAGTTCTATGAAATTTTAATATTATTGATATCAGAAATTAAGAATTCTATAAACAGAAAATGAGGCATTGTTTTTTATGAACTCATACTTTTGAATTAGATTTTTAATGGATTTATATTGCCTGAAAATATGTTCGTATTACTAGTAGGTGTTTTGTCGAATGATTCAGCTATATTGTTTATATTGTATTATTTTACATTTTTTATCATTTTTTTCTCATTTCCGCTTGTTTTTATAGCCTTCACATATAACCCTTCATTAACTTAATCGATTCAATCATTGACGATTTGTAAGATAATGTGTAGACTATAAAAAATTTTCTTTATTATTAATTTCAATAACTGATTTATATTCAATTTATGCACAAATATTTATCAGGGGAAAAGTAGAATTAATTGTACGTTTACATTAAAAAAAATACTTTTTTTTAAATTTATTATGCCGTTCAAAGATCGAAATATGGTCGAAATTGTAAAATGACTCCGATCTGGAGCAAAACCATTGAATAACTCTAAATAGCATATTACACAAATGATAGTAAAAATACATCTATTATAATGTAGGCTCTGGATGTGAAGCAAATTGTGATTAACAAGTGGTTTCATCTTACACAATTGCGATGATTAGTATACTTACGTGGTGCGACAGAAATGTCAATCCAATCGTGTACATCTCGACGTAAATTTTCTAAATTTAGTAAACATACGCGCACGGTATTTGCACTTGATTATAGATAAACCGGCGCGTCAAAATATAGTAGTAGGAAAGTACAGCTGCTTTCGATGTGAATGAGTTAAACGAATATTATTATCATATATTAATCTTTATTTGTGAACACAAATCCGTTACGAGAAAATACAGGTGTAGTGTGTGTATATATATTGTGTATGTTCAATCTTGTAACTCCGCGACAATCTTCCGGTATTCGACATACATACGCAGATCTCTTTGCAGTGTGCCCTTAAAATAGCTGCCCGAAATTAGAAATAAATTACTAAACGGTTCACGAAGATAAGCACTAAAATCAGAAATAACTTGTTTACATTAGGTAACTTTCGAATAGATTGCCAAACAAATATGAGAGTATTGCAAATTTTAATGTAATTTTAATCTTGAAAATTGTTGACTTCATCAATTCTTATAGTCGGAGATTTTTGGTATAATTATTTGCGAACATCTATTTATATGTAGTAACGAGTTTTTTTAATTTTTGACATATGTTTTTTAATCATACAAAGTGCATGATTTATGCAAAAGTTTCGACAGTAAAACATAATTCTATTTGTCTGTGATAACAACATGATATATTATGCGGCACAACTAGCGATATGTCTATTTTTAGATATTATCAATAGTTTTATAAAAGAAAATAAGTGAAATTTCTATGAGGAATTTAACATAAAATAAGTGAAATGTTAGAATTTTTTTGTAGCATTCAAATTAAAATTATTAAAGATGCAAGTATTGTTAATTTGCAGTCTGCAAATTTAATTGTGGCTCGTAAAATCTAATTATATAACATGTAACATCACAGCTAATAAATATTGCACATATTTTTTATAAATAATTAACGTCAAAAAGCCACATTAAAATATGTAGTAAATTTACCGAGTTTTGGATTTTTAAATGCTGAATTAAACAACGCAAATTTATTTTACTGAAAATTGAGATTCTTTGAATTTCCAACACAACGAGTCAAAACTATAGAAAGTGTGTCATTTTAATGCTAAATGTAAAGAAGACTTGTCAAAAATAAGCGAACGACGTACAGGCAAATCAATGAAGCAAAAATGTTCACTGTCATGTTATAATCATATCTTCACAGTTTGACAAACTCACTGACTCACCGGTTGTACATTCTACAAGGTCTGATCGAAATGTTTTGAATGCTATAAGAAGTGCTTATATCCCGCAAGCGCAATAATTCCATCTCGGCTGATTAATTTAGTATTTTCTTCCGGAAAATTGTTGCAACTCGATCGGTTGTAGTTACAAAGTCCGGAAGCAACTCTGCAAATTTTTACAAAGTAAGCATGATGCTTGATGAGAGTGGGGAAAACTATTCAATGAGTATGACCTCTTGATATCGTTTTACGCAAAGCATAAAGTCACCTCTTAAGAATCTGCTACCAATACTTGAACCTCGGACCGACTGCTTTATAACCAAAAGAACCGGATAGCTACATATATTATGCGTATGACTTTTCATTGCGCAATACCTTTTTGATTGAACAAGGACAATATCAACATTACAGATAAAGATTTGTAAAATATATGTACCTGTATAGAAGCTCTACTATCAACGCAATATGTCATCTAGACAAGTAGCAAACACGTATCGTCGCCATTGTTAATACAAACCTAGTCTGCTCAATATCTGCAATAACTTGAATACAGCATTCAGAATTATCGTATGCTTCTAAATAATACGTAGAATTGATATGGAAATTTGTATCTAAAGTCTATTTTAAAAATCCATTTCAAAAGTTTGTCTTAAACTAAATATTTTTGTTAAAAACCAATCGTTTGCATAAGCAAAGGCTGTAGAAATTATTTTTATATATAATATCATGCTTTTTTTTTTAATTTTGTTCTACGATTAAAGATATTGAAAAAAAATTTTAAGAAAAGAGAAATCTTATTTTTAACATTACACTTTTTTAAAAAATATATGAAACTATGTATGCGAAAGCACCGGTAATGTCCTGATTGTACATTTTTTTATATTTTATATTAAAGAATCACACGATTAAATTCTCTCTTACGAATCTTCAGTAAAAAATAAATATAATATAAATCTAGAATGGTATTTAAATCGCAATTTAATAAACAATAATCATTTACAAACGTTACAAATAACATTCTGTTTTAGCATAGAATTAATTTCGTAATTTTAGGGTTTTACACTTAAAGAAAAATATTCAAAAATAAAAAATTGAGAGTTAATTTTTGTGTTCAACGATTGTAGAAACTTGCTAATTGCTAGATTTTTTTCAGATGTTTAGTAAAATTTGACAATAAAAAACAACAAAAGTAGAGAATAGCTTCCGATATCGTACATAAATAAAAGGATAATATTATTTTCCATCGAAAATTATATAAATTAAATTACTCTTTATTTTAACAGTAAGAAACTCTTCTTATTTCTCAATTTTTATCAGAGTTGGTCATCTTTTATCAAATGCTTGATAAGAATGATAAAAATGAGGGACGAGGAAAAAATAATTCATGAATCAGCTTCATGCTAATTAAAAATTTTCTCGAATCTCATGTGAACTGATTTGTTGCTGTTTTTTTGCATGTAAAAAAGGAATTATTTGCAGTATGTCATTCAGTACGTCAACACTTGAATAATCAATGCACAATTTTTCTTTACATTACAAAATATTTTTTTTATCGTATACATTCGAAGCTTATTTTCACGATCTTGCTTTACAAAATCTTCATTATCTACGTATTTTTATTTGCGAGGAAGAAAATATGATTTTGATATGAT